TACCACTTTTATTATGTGAATTTTTCAGGGTAAACTCTTAGCACCCTGCTATATTCTTTTGTTTCTACGCATGCACACAAACCCTGTGCTGTAGTTGTCAGTGTTCCTTTCCTATGGAGACTTAAGCAACCCCAGAAGTGTAGAGCATTGTGGACTGTCCAGGGACCATATTTGGTGAGGGGTTGTCCCTGTGTTTTCATGTGTGTTCTGCCCCTTTGGACATAACCGATCTAGAATGAATTCAAAGACAGAGTTGGACAAGCCTGGTGGGGTTTTCTGGCCCCCTCCTGTGATGAGAACATGACGATTCTGTTCTATGGTCGTGTGTATCTGATCACGTGTGAGCAGGGGTCATGCACGTATTCTCAGGGGTCTCCAATATTTGGCTTTCTATCAATGGAAGCATTCAGGAAAACATCTTTACTTATCAGGGGATTGTGATTGAAAGATGTTTAATTTCCACTGTGTTGTCTTATTTTTACATAAATGCCATGAACAATGTAAGGTACTGTGAAACTCACCTCTGCTCTGCATATGTAAATCTACACAGAGATGCAGAGATTATCCATGTAATGTGAGAAATGGGACCAAACCTCACCTACCTGTGTTTGATGTCTCCAGGTGGCATGAGAGCTGGGAGGAAGATTCACCCCACACTCCTGGATCAACTGCAAAATCCCAGGTGACCTAAGGTTCTGAGTGTGAACTGCCAGGTGTGCAGCCTGAGGATCATTGCCAACTCCTCTGTGTCATCTTTTCAAGCTGAGTCTTTCAATAAACCACTCCCCACCCAGGTGTGCTGTCCTCAGACCAAAGACCTGGAGCAGATCAAAGGCTTATGGTGTAGTCTCATCCACACTGGTGAGGGTCTTAGCTGTCAGAAGCTGGAAAGCATAACGAGGAAGAGGGTGAAGTTATGAAATATGCATTGAGACTGAGAGTCAGAGGAGTTCTGTAAGGAGGCACAGGAACACACAGAAGGTGGATTCAGAGTCCCAGGCTTCATCCTGAATTCTCAGCAATGTCCTTGGAAAGACTGGGCTGCACCAGGCCTCACATGCTTCTGAGAAAGTTAACGTCAGAATCCTGGATAGAGGATCATTGGAGAGAGCTTCCATTGCTGATTGGGAAGTCATTGATTTGAATAAATGTTCTTATTACAAATTACAGTAAAGAATACTGTTTTGTATATAGAGCAAAGTAGCGGGTCTTATCCAAATTCAGAGGAAGGTGGAAGTCCTGGAAGCCATCATGAGACATAAGACCTGAGCTCCCCTCAGTGTGCACAGGGACACACACACACACACATGCATACACAGGTGCACATGCACATACATGCAGAGACTCACTCTTGCATCTGCATCCAAAACCTCCTCTGTCCAAGATACTGTCTCTGACACACACAAGACATAATCCTGGGACAGGGACTGTTGGATCTGAGGAAACATGGAGGGCCCGTATTTTCCAGTAATGACCAAGTGACTCTTGTTTTCTTGGATCCCGTGACAAGGGCTGCAATGTGGGGCTTAGCAGTTCCTCAGATGCCCTCAGCACACGGCCCTGCACTGAGCTCTGTGTTTAGTCCTTGTTTCCACTTTACAGCATGTGTGACGGCCCTACGAGCACCTGAACACAGTGTTTCCAGTGAGATACATAGTATTGGAATAGTTGGTTTCATGGTGAGTTGATGCTAAAAATTGTAAAATGTGTCACTTATTTGTAGTCGGGGCTCCAGTTTTTAGTCCCATCAGCAGACTTCTGCTTTCTCCAATATCCTCTTTATATTACAAAATTATCACATTCCTTATCCCTTTTCTTCAGTTATGGGGACGGGTCTTGGTAACACAGTCTCATCTGCATGTAGCTCCTTGTTCAGAACATCTGAACATGCTGGGAACAGCACAATTGCTCTCTGGATTCTCAGATTAGCCACTGTCTGATATCTGCTCCACCTCTAGGCTTAAATATAAAAACCTGCATAATCCAGATCTGGTGTGGAGTTTCCTTCCAATGAGTGTCTCTAATATGTGAAGTCAATTTTTTTCATCCACATGATTCACTTTTATTTCACCATGAAGTTGAACTCATAAGCCCAGCATTGCCTGACAAGGGCAGCTTAGCTTCTGCAATAAAACTGATAAAATCTTATAAATTGGGGAAAATAACAATAATACTAAATACACAGAAACCTCAACTAAATACAATTTGGTGACAGAATGGTGGGCTCTCATGTCCTACCAGGGCAACAGAGTCCAGCTGTGTGTAAGAAGAAAGACGCCCTGTTCCCTCCTGGCAAGGACTCAGGCAGTGAGGGGTGGTCACAGCTCAGCCAGGGAGAAGCCCTGGGTGCCTTGTTCACTACAGCCCCTCCTCCAACATCCATTCCCATCTGCAAAATAGTTCTCATCCCCGTGGTTGCTAGGACCTGCAGGTGGCTCACTGTGATTCCAGGCCCGGAAGGAAAATCGTTGTTGATCCCAGATTGAAACATTCCTTTTTGCTGGAGAAATATCTGGCCATCTCTTTGTTTCAGGTCAACATTTTCACGGCCCTGATGGAATCAGACAAGACCCCGTATGACTGTGAGGCTGCTGACCAAACAGGTGTGGGACCCACACTGGGCCCATGGCTGCGCC